CGATCGTGCCCTATGTTTAAAAGGCAGATAGAAATCTCCAGAGTAATGGCGTTTGATAATCTCCCCTTCTTCGAGGCCCGGTCTGTGGTCCTCAGGACGGAGGGAGTCGGGAATACGGCCGCTCCAATTAAGACACTGAAGAATTTTTCCCCCCCCTTCCCAGCCGTGGTGGGGTTAAGCTGGTTAACGCTCCAGTGGCTTCTAGATCAGCCAGTTTATCGGGTTGGATGTGGCCGCCCGGATCCCGTTTTTGCGAAGAGGAAGTTAAGGAACAAGTGCTCAAGCTGGTGGACCAAATAATGAAAGCTGATAACATTGATACTTTGCTTAAGCGTATAAGTAATACACTTAGTTTACATACTAAGTTAACAAGCACGGAAGGTTAGGTAAGGTTAGATATCCATTAACAATGTCTAGTCAGAGATCAAAGGTTAAACATGATCCGTTCGGCCTTGTTCATTGGAACGCAAAGTCTGTTTTACCAAAGTTTAGTGAGTTGACTTACCGTTGCATGTTCTATAATTTTATTTTAATTTCAGAAACGTGGCTCACCCCTGCGAACTCCTTTATTGTAAAGGGATTCGACACGGTGAGGGAGGACAGAATTGGGCGTCCAGGAGGAGGAGTCCTGATACTGATCAACCGTTCAATCAAGTATCGAAAAGTGTCTGATGTGCACAACTGCGGAGGTAAGATTGAGGCTTGCGCGGTGGAGGTCTTTCTGCGAGGCGAACCATTGGTCTTGGTGGCGTGCTACCGCCCCCCTGGGTCGGGAACCTTGTTAGTTGAGAAGTGGCAAAGGTTCTTGTCACAGTTTGGCACAAAAAAGGTTCTGTTTGGAAAAGATTTCAATGCTCATCATGTAGGTTGGGGCTCTCCCCGCACGTGTCCGGTGAGGGAAGCCTTGTGGAAAGCAATTCAAGATTCAGACCTAATCCTGCTGAACGACGGTTCTCCTACCTACTTCAGTGACTCTTACCGCTCGTACTCGGCTCTAGATCTGACTCTCGTCCACAGCTCGATGGCCCCCCGGTTTTCGTGGAAAGTGGACAGTGACTCGTGGGGCAGCGACCACTTTTCCGGTTGTTGTTTGTTCTGGACTCCGCCCAGATATTCCATTGCCGGCTAGACGATCTGCCAGGTTACACTCTGTTTGTACAGACTGGGACGCCTTTGGGAAGTACGTGGACACGGGGATTAGAGTTCTCTCATCCTCAGTGGAGGACGTGGAAGTTTATTACAACACCTTTGTCGGTTTGGTAACGGATGCTTTGACGTCGGCATCTCCGCGCAAGTTCTGCCCCAGGGGGGGTTTCCCTCCCGTGTACCGCCCACCATGTTTGTGGTGGTCGCCAGAATGTGACAGGTCTCTCCGCCTGCGTAAAGCGGCGCTAGCACGCTTCAAGTTTTCGGGTTTACGCGAGGACTTCATCAGGTACAAACGTCAGGTTGCTCAAACTCGAAGGGATCTTCGAAAAGTCAAGCTAGACAGCTTTCGCAAGTTTTGCTCCGGCCTTCGGAAAGATTCTAATCCAACGCATGTATGGAATGTCGTGAAAGGCTTTGAGTATCGATGGAACCGTACGGAATCAGATAAAGCTTACACTGATGAAAAGGTTGATCGCGTCCGTTCTCAGGTGGACTCCTTGTGCCCACCGTGGGTTCCCACACCTCCGCCTTTCTTCGAGTATGAATGTGTTGACTCCTTTCTTGACGAACCGTTTTCCTCACTGGAACTTGACGTGGTCCTGGACGGGGTCAACGTCAAATCCAGCCCGGGTTCGGATAACGTAGATTATCTGGTGCTGAGAAAACTGCCGCCACTGGGCAGGGCTGCACTCTTGAATCTTTATAATGCCGTTTTGTGCTCGGGGTCTTTTCCAACGGAGTGGCGTAAGTTTCTTGTTTTTTTTATTCCAAAGTCGGATGGAGTGAAGTTCCGTCCGATTTGTTTGGCTTCCTGCCTCTGTAAAACCATGGAAAGAATGGTCGCTAATCGTCTCAACTGGTGGTTGGAATTCCACCATAAACTCCCCAGCTCGCAGTAT